GCATGCATGCCAGGCAAGCGAGCTACTGCTTGAGCCACATCCCCAGCCCTGAGTTCCTTAATGCCTTGCCATTGCTAAGGCCAGCTTTGAACTTGAGATCCTCCTGTCTCAGCCTCCTGAGTTGCTGGGATTACAGATGTGGGCCACAAAGATCAGTGAATAGTAACTTCCAGCATTCACACCCCTTTCTTCAGGATCACCTCCACTTTTTAACTGTCAGCGTTCTGTTTTAATGGTATCACTATTTACTTATTTTTGTGGTACAGGAAATTGAACCCCGGGCCTTATACATGGTAGGCAAGTGCTCTACCACTGAGCTATATCCCCAGCTCCAGTATCACTTTATTAAGGACAGCAAAATCCACAGTGTTGACCCTGCTCTCTCACACCATTCAACACAGAAGACTTTGCTTCAGGTCACAAAATGTGTGGGATTTCTCCCTACTAACAGCAAAATAGTAATAATAATATTAATCCTCACTATCATCATCATCATCCTGATGTTATCTACCTGAGAAACTGTCAGATTCCTCAGGTTAAGTGTTCAGATCCATGATCCTGCCTTCTACTTCAGATGTCAGTTACATACCCAGGTTGTGATTTGTGCTTTTGGCCAACATGCTATGAATTAGGGGTTCCCTTTCTCCTGTCTGTATATTTAATTTTCTAGAGCAGCTCTCCGGCTAGCTCGTTCAATTTAGCAAGACCCTGTCTCAAAATAAAAAATAAAAAGAGCTAGGGATGCAGCTTAGTGGTAGAGCACCCCTGGATTCAGTCCCCAGTACCTTAAAAGAGCTGGGGGGTGTTATGGTTTAAATGTAAGGTGTTCGCCAAAAGCTCATGAGTGAGACAATACAATAAAGTTCAGAGATGAAATGATTGGATTATAAGAGTTTTAACCTAAGCAGTGTATTAATCCCTTGACAGGGATTAGCTGGTTGGTAACTGTAGGCAGGGCGGGTATGGCTGGAGCATATGGGTTCCTGGGGCCATGTCTTTGGCATCTATACATGTTGTTCTTGTTGAGTAGAGCTCCTTTTCTGCTTTCTGAGCTGCTTTCTTCCATCACACTCTTCCACCATGATATTCAGCCTCACCTTGAGCCTCAAGGAATGAAGCTGGCCTTCTGTGGACTGAGACCTTTGAAACTGTGAACCCCCAAATAAACTTTTACTCCTCTAATTGTTCTTGTTAAGTCTTTTGGTTACAACTACAATGGGTTTTTGATTAATTGGGCTCCATAGCTCACACCTGTAATCCCAGGTACTAGAGATGCTGAGGCAGGAGAATTGCAAGTTTGAGTGCAGCTTAGGCAATTTAATGAGACGCTGTCTCAAAATGGAAAAATAAGGATGGCTGAAGAACTAGCTCAGTGGTAGTGCATCTGTGAGGGTTTATTTCTGAGACGTGTTCTATCATGTCCGTCTCGTGTTAGTACCATCATGTTTTTATAATACTCTAGTTTGGGTAAGTTTTTAAGACAGGAGTATGAGTTTTCCAACTTTACTTTTCTTTTTCAAGATTCTTTGGACTATTTAGATCCCCCAGCAATTTCATAGGAATGGAAGTCTTAGTATTTGGTGGAGATTGCACTGAATTTGTAGATTTCCAGTTTTATTGACTTTTATTAACA